ATGAACCATTGTCTTTTTTTGTCAAAACAATTTTGTGGCAGTCAATTTTTGGTCAAGCGCGAGTTGTCCATAAAAATGAATAAAATTGTTCAAAATTTTTTATATCGTTTATTGACTCAGTTTCATGAAGAGGTAATTTCATTGTAAAGGAGGAAAAAAACAGTAACAGCAGAAGTTGGTAAAATTTAATAAAATATTATTTTACTTCTTGCGATACAATGAAGTCATCCTTATAAGAAAGTCTATCAGCATTTAAAAAAATTAGGCAATTTTATTAATTATGTGTGAAATTTTTTTGTGATTTTTTTGTATCCCATACAATGAAATGTTCCTATCATGAAATTGAGTTGATCATCCCTAAAAAAATTTGTTCAATTTTATTCATTTTCATGGACAACTCGCGATTGACCAAAAAATTTACTATTGCCAAAGTTGTTTCCACAAAAAAAGACTGAGGGTTGTATTCCAGAACTCTACTCAATACTCAAGTCAGGACTTGAGTATTGCAGTGAGCACTGAAAATCATACTCAAGTCCTTGACATTAGGGTCGTATTTCCAGTGCTTGAAATCATACTCAAATCTGCTCAAATCCTGACTTGAGCATTGAATAGAGTTCTGGAATACGACACTTAATGGTTCCTAAGACAGTTTCCTTGTATCTTCTATAGTATGTGATTGTCCTATTTAAAAAAACCACATTACCAGAGACACAAACCTTATGAATAACCCAACTCTCTTTATAAACCTCTTCTCCATTCTCAATATTAGGTGCTGGTTCCTCATTTTTCTGTTTCCAAATGAAAATAATTGATTCATCATCACCAGATGCCAGTAATTCTCCACTGGGCGACCACCTCACTACGTTTACAGCCTTTTGGTGTCGGGTCAGGTCAGCTGCCACTTCTAGATTCACAGATCCTGTTTCTGTAGTTGATACGTACCAGATCTGTAATTATTAATTTGTTTTGAATTTATATTATTTATTTTACATAATCTGTTGTTTATTTTACATAAAATTACAATCATATGTTTAGATTGGCTACTTTGAGAGTGGTACTGCACATTTTGCTATTTTAAGCTTTCACAATATTGGCATCATTATATTGTTAATTTAAAATATTTTTAAGCTCCATATGTTTGCTGTTGAATATCCTTAAATAAATAAATAATGTCACTTTATTATTGTGTAGTGTTTGGTGCACATTGGCATTCAGAATAAATCGTAAATGAGAGTTCGCAGATTTAGATTAACTAGCAAATATGATGCACTTGTATATACCAGTATTTTAAATACATTTTACAAACAGTATGTGATGGACACACTACAATGGCAATAACATTGTGATATCAAGAAAAAGGTATTATTGGAAGGTATCGCATCGCATTTCCTAATTTAAACTTGCAAATTTATGTTATTTAACAGGAAAATTAACGATGTTTTTGTATAGTTATAATAATAAATTTCTCAAGAGTTTTATATTTACATTTTTAAGGACAAAATGACATACCAAAACATGAGAATCAGTTCCTCCTGTAGCAAGTCGTAAAGGATCACCAGCAGCCGCCTTCGGCTGAAAGTCAACACTTAAAACGGGGTCCCTGTTATGCCATGATATCTCAGGAATGGCAAACTTCATCTTTTATTGTTTTAATTAATTAAAACCACGATACGATCCGATACGATCTCTAAACTTTTATCACACCCTGACGACAAATACAACAAGGCACTAGTAAAATTGTTCGTCCTCCGGGACAGGTTAAATAGGTGTCACATAGGTATTTATATGACGAAACAAAACAAACTGTCACATTTGGCGCCAAAAGTGGCCAAAACGTTTGATTATATTTTTTTTCCAAGGAAAAGGCAATGCTTTAACACCATACCATACACAGAAATGTTGGAGATTTCTTTAGGTCTTAGAGCATAACAAGATGGGAAACGCTCTACACATTATGTATTTCTTAAACAAAACTTATTTTCCATTCTCTAAGATACCTTATTTCGTGCAGCAATTGGCACGGTGAATTTGTCGGTGGAGTGGACAAACCAATTCAAATCAAAAGTTTTTATTGTGCGGTGGTTTTTTCTATTTGTACTTTGACGTGACTGCCTATGGGTGACGCCTCCCGTGTTATATGCTCTAAGTATGTTTGGTACCAGACATTTGGCTTTGAAGTAAAGTCCTATAATTAAATCTAAAATCTGGCTGTATGTATGGCATTTGCCTGTCCTAACGACAAAAAATTTTACTATAGCTCACTCACTCATTCGCTATCTCTTTCTTTTTTTGACGTCTCGTTGACACCGTGCGAATTGGAAGCAAAAATGGTTTGTGTTTTTACATGAATTTTATCTCAAGAAATCATTAGTTGTTCAAAACTAAATAGTGCATTTAATTCCAAAAATGTAGTGTTTCACAGTGGTGGATATAAGTGTAGCAATATTTCACTCTGAGCCTTTGTGGATTTCAGGTGAACGTACCCAAACAACGCAGGACATACTGCAAAAAATGCAAATGCCACAAGACCCACAAGGTGTCGCAGTACAAAAAGTCGAAGGAAAGAAGAGTTTCACAAGGTAGGAGACGTTACGACCGCAAACAACAAGGTTATGGTGGTCAGTCCAAGCCTATCTTCAAAAAGAAGGTAAACTTAACCTCTTTCTCCTTATTTTTATGTTACCGGTTCTCTTTTTTGTGGTGGGTGGGGATAGCTGTCACATTACCTGCGACCAATTGCTACTAAGTCTTTAAGAGTCGTTTTCCAGAACTCTACTCAATACTGAAGTTATTCCAGAACTCTACCAATGCTCAAGTCTCCTGACTTGAGCATTTAGTAGAGTTCTGGAATACGACCCTAAGGATCGTATTCCAGAACTCTACTCAATTCGCAAGTCAGGACTTGAGTATGATTTCAAGCACTGGAAATACGACCCTAATGGCAAGGACTTGAATACTCAAGTCCTTGCCATTAGGGGATTTCCAGTGCTTGAAATCATACTCAAGTCCGCTCAAATCCTGACTTGAGCATTGAGTATAGTTCTGGAATACGACCCTAAGAATGAAATCATATCTTGTATAGATAGAAGTGTCGTCTAAAACAGCATATACATCAATCTTATTATAATAGTTATATATTTAATGTTGTGGGAAAAGGGAAATCAATGGGTAATATACAGTTAATGAATCACTTTCACATTCTACTAAGGGTGCTAAATTTTGGCTCAACTATACATTACCAATGCACAAGTTGAGAGTACTGTATGAGAGGGGGCACTATGGAAATTGGACTTATTTTTGAAGGTTTTTGTTTTTAATTGTTTTTAGAGTTTGTTTCGGATAGATTAGATATAAATGAACAATTTTTGTTCTTATTAATTTTTCTCTGCATGTGATTGTTTTCGAGAAAATTAAGCTAAAAATTTTTCATTTACCAAGGCAGAAAAATTTTATTGATTTTTACTTGGTGGAATTTAATCTTAATTTAATGTATTTCTGAACATGTTTGGTTAAATGTACCATTACAGAGTTGAATTTAGGTGCAAATCGTCCCAGTTTGAGTATTTGAAATAGCCGCATGAGATGAGTGAGTGTGCTGCGACTATGGCCGGCCAGTTCCACACTGAATTTCATGCGTTTGAACATGTCTTGGTCAAATATACCATACCAGAATCAAATTTAGGTGCGTCTTATTTATAATTTTGCTCCTTAATTTTCTTGAAAACTATTGCCTGCAGAAAAAAATAATAAGAGCAAAAGTGTTTATTTATGTGTAATCTATTACAAACAAATACTAAACATTTTATACTACTTTAAAAAATCAATCCAAGTTTTTTGTCAGGTAGTTTCGATAAATGAAAATTCTTCAGCTTAATTATCTAGGAAGTTTAACAATGGAGGAGAAAAATTAACAAGAACAAAAATTGTTTATTTGTATCTAATAGATTAGAAACAAACCCTAAAACAATTTAAAAAAAATTCTAAGTCCACTTTTCATAGTTCCCCCTTTCCTACCGTCTGACTTTTCTTACCGATTGCTTTTGGACAAACTGCCACACAGAGAGGGAAATTCATTATTGAAATGTTTGTTTTTCAAATCTTTTGCATTGTATGAGTACTTTCATTCTGATCATATTTATAATGTAATTAATATAGCATACCTTGTATACATAACCATATATATGCTATTTTAGCATAAACTGTACATTATCTGCACTAATCTTGTTTGCAGGCAAAAACCACTAAGAAAATTGTGCTCCGTCTAGAATGTGCTGACTGCAAAGTGCGCTCACAGGTGGCACTCAAGCGCTGCAAACACTTTGAGCTGGGTGGAGACAAGAAGAGGAAGGGACAGATGATCCAGTTCTAACCTGGCTAATAAATAAGTCTTAACCATTTGAGAGTTTAATTTATTTACCTTCTAAATTATCTTCAGAGCCCCTGTAGAGACCTATCTCTGCACTGAGTAGTACTTGAAATTTGCAACTTTTAAAAAATTATTACAAAACTCATGGAATAAGTTTTTTAAGTTATTGGATTTGCTGCCACTGTGCCCGTCACCCTGAGACATAGTTGACAAGTCCCATGTGTCTGTAATTTCACCAGCACCCTTACCCTTCTAAACTGGAACACAGTAATGCAATGTTACTGCTTGGCGGCAGAAATAGGTAATGAAGTACTTAATTTTCATTTATTTGCTTTAAATAGGGTAGGGTACATTATGTTGATGGTAAAATTTGATTATAACTTAATCCTATTCTGCCTCGTATAAAAGAATCCAAAATAGTAATAAGGAATTAAACAATACCAAATTAAATGAACTGACACAGGAGTCATAATTAGATTAGTTAAATAATTGTAAATTTTTTTTTATTATAAAAATGTAACGTTTTATGAGCGTATGTATTGAAATGAATGATCAATAAAAATAAGTATTTGTATAGGCTGTTGTGTGTATATGAAAAGCTGGACGAAAAATGCAGTTGTCATCGTTTATTGTTTGCACATACAAAATTTAAATAGTTTTTTTTATACATAATTTACAAAACAATTGTTAGCACTGTAAAAACTTTTTAAATTATTTATTTGTATAGTACAAAATATAATAATTTTATTTACAACAAATGTTAAACCAGATCTTGTTAGAAATATACTTTTTCCCTATTTTGTACTAACTAATTTTGCAAAAACATTGGGATCCAATCCTTCTGCAGATAGTTTTAATTTCACAGCTTCTAAAGGCACTCCTACTGACACCATTTTAATAAATCTGTCATATTCGGGATGACTAGGGACGGGGCTATCTTTTGGTTTTACTGAATCTGATGATTGTTCTTTAAGTGGTCCTTTCAGTTCACTATTTTCTGGTGAACTTACTTCTGGGGGTGGATTTATTTCCACTTTTGTTTCAACTTTAGTTTTTTCTATTGGATCTGCTTGTGTTCCACTTACTTCTGGTATTGATGAAAGCTGAAATGTGCATGTTAAGATATAATTAAGTAAAATACTATTTAAAATAATCGCTCTATGTAGACATAATATACATAGGTGTAGTATTCAGTAAATCCTACAACTGAGTAAGAATACCACTCACTCTAGCTTCTAGCAGCACCATCGCCGCTTCAACCTTTTCCAGCTGTCTTTCAAAGCGCATCAGTTTTTCTTCACACTGTTTCATGAAACTGTTCAGAAATTGCACCGTAGTTATAGCGAAGTGGTTCACAAACGCCACCGTTCGCTTTTGTTGCAATGCTGCTACCTAAACATTAAAAGTTAGGCATATACAATTTAACTTAGATGCATAGGTCAATGCTTAGATGTGATTATAAGCGTTTAAAAATAGATAAGAGATCAACCTTAGATAAATCTAGCCCAGCGTGTTCTTGATTTGTTATAGACTGTGTGATAGACATTTTTTCTGTTAAAAACAGTCACTAAACTAAAAAACAAAGTATCAATAAATAGTCACTAAACTAAAAAACAAAGTATCACTGTAACAGAACACTATGATCACTGTCATAGATCATACACTCTACATGATCACTGTATTGTATTTATTTTTTCGACCTACATAATAATTTTAATTAATTTATTGCTGGCCATGG